CAAGGAGGAGGAGATAAGGATAATTTCAGGGAGGAGAGGGTGGAGAGTATTTGGGTGGATTCGGAGGTGGCGTTGGTTTTCGTGGAGGTGATAACGGAGCTGGGGCGGTGGTGGTTACTCTGGAGGAAATGGAGGTGGGAATAAAGCTTTTTTCTGTAGGGGAGGGGGAGGGTCTTTTGACATTTGGGACAAATCAACTAAACAAATGCTGTTCTAATTGCGATGAACATGATAAAGTGATCATCACATTTCTTCAGTGAAATGGACATGGCGACACAATCCTCAAAGTGAAGCGAATATTCTTTTCTCAAACCCCAAATTTGAAAAATCTTCTGATTTTTTATCAAGTTTGAAGATGTACGCTAACCTTTAGATTTAAGGTGGTTTGCTTTCGAGTTCATAGTTTGAATTAACAATCAGTATTTGCTGGAATAGGTTTTTTCGTGGATACACTTTGATCTTAGGGAATTTATTTTCTGCAAAACCTAAAAATTTTGTTCATTTTCCGGCTCTTTTCGGAGCATTTCGGACGTTGTGCTTGAGTATTTATAGAGCGCAAGTGTTCTGTCTTCAACTGTGAAGGTCAGTAGACATAAACAATGCTAATTACGAATTGTTACGAGTTAATTGTTTCTAGGAATTACAGAAACAAGCCATTACTTTTTCCTCCTTATCAGACGATAATTGATAGTTTCAAACTACAGTTTAATTAAAAATCAATAAATTGGTTCCAAGCTGTTAAATTAAAGTTGTTTGTTTTTTACTAGACTTGAGTTATAACATTTCACAACTTAAAAGCAAGGTTTCTTTGGGAAAGAGCGAGGTAGTATATTTAATCGCAAATACGAGAATATCACAATATCGCGCCAACTGTTTTCTTTGCTGGTTTCTCCGTCCATTAGATCCTATCCTTTTTTACTCTCTCTCAAACTCATCGGCTCTGTCCTGTTTTACTGGTAAAGCTTTTTATGGGCCTCGTTACTAGCCACCTGCACAGTATGCATTGTCTGTTGTCAATCGTCAAACCACGCATTCGCAAAGGGTTAATTTTGGCCAGCCCGCGTGTCAATTTCCCGTGTAAATTTTCAAAGGAGAACATTAGAAAGAGCGTTTTCACGTGAAATATTTGAAAAAAATTAAATGTTCGTGGAAATCTGTAAACGGGGACCAAAGATGGGTAAGTCGAGACTTTCGAACACGAAGCTGATTAATTTTGGGTATCCTGTTGATATATTTATTAATCTATTTCAGGCTGTCGGTCAGAGAATATTACGTCAGTGTATTGCTTATGTTTTGTATTTTCGCAATAATAATAATAGCAATCAAGTCCAAAATGTTTGTTTTAGTGCAAATATCTCTAAAAAGAATAACGATTGTAAAATTCTCGGTTGGATACCGCCAAGAATCTTTTGTCCCATTTCTTGTCAGCATGCACTTTACCATCCAAAACAAAGCAAAAATAGTGTTAAAATTTTGAAGTATTTTTTCTTTACAGGAGTAATCCCTTTAAAACCATCTAAGGGTAAGCAGCCAAAGTTTCTATGTGTTTTCATCATGACAAGATGTAGCATTTCAGTCATGTAGAAGCCCTCATGAGAGCTTAATTGCTAAAGTGACGGTGTCTCTTGCTAAGAAACTCTGGCAGCTGAGCATCAATTACGAAAAATACGCTTTATTTTTGTCTAGAAAAAAATTGTCTTCCGACTATGAGATGAAATTTTCGGTCTGTCAGAAACAAGCGTACGGTGTTCTACAAAAATGATGTATGTGGATCTAAAAAGTCTCAAAATAGTTACAAAGGAGCCGAGAAAATAGTTTAATACGATTCTTTTTTTTATTCTTTTTTACCCATTATGTGCCATCTGCTAGTAATAACTTTAAACGATGTTAGTTCTTCGCGAGAAAAGGATATCGCTCTCTTTTTGTTTCGTCGAGTTTTTAAATTCACTTTTCAATGACTGCTTTTTTTTCGGTTCATCTGCTACTCTTCTCCTCAGTGGTGATTGTTTTGGCCGTCATCGGTGATATTTTCAGAGCAAATGAAACCTATGAAAGGAAAGTTTTTTTCTTCTGGTTGCACAACATAACAGATAGGTCATGATATGTCACGCCAAGAGGAGGTAATTTGTTCGATTAGACTTGAAATCGCCATCTTCCGCTCTTTCGATGCAGAAGTTCGACTAATCGGAATACGTTAAGAGGCCAAAGTAAGAATTTGAGTAGACTAAATTGATTACGACCAAGGTACAGAGAATGAGGATAAGAACGAGAAGAAACTTTGATGTCATTAGTTCAGTAACTTGACTTGATAACGGGTCAGATCTCAAATTGGGCCCACACTCCTTGATGCACCAAAATTTTCAGCAGTTACCTGAACGTGTTCCAGGTTAGCATCTATTGATTATACACAAATATGATATGTAAATACTGTGCTTCGATCTCATGTAATTTACTTCTTTGTGTGTGAAGCACATTTTAGAACTAGAGAAGCAAAGTTTTTAAGAGGATCTCAATGGGTTATCCGATTGCCGTAAAACGGCCAAAAAACTCAGGCAAAAAATTGATAAATTTTAGCCAATAGTCGAAAAAAAAAGTTAACCGTAAAAAGAATTATGGCGACAACAATAGAATGATGTTGACGTTAGCCGTAAAATCTGTAAAATGGCAAAATATTAACCGTTAGCTGTAAAAGCCATCACCCCATTGAGACCTTTTATAAATTTCAATGACTGAATTTACAGATTCCGCGGTAATATTTCTGGATATAATGATATGTACTGCCTCATGCATGATTTGAAATGATGAAGA